ACAGTTCTAAGAAGACCAGAACACTGGTGGTATATGATAAAGAAGCAAGGCAATAAAAATATGCAGTTTTTCTTGGGTTGCAACCTCTTCAGGAGTTTCCCAGATGTAATCTGAAACCAGCTCCCATATTTTAGAGAGCAGGAAGAGACCTAAAGAAAAAGGCAGACTACTCCAGATTGGTAGGTGGCAGGTCAAATAAGCAAGGCATCTGGCCAGGCTTGTCTTGGGTGGCCTCCAGGTTGGTAGGTGGCAGGTTAAACAAGCAAGGCAACTGACCAGGGTTGTCTTGGGTGGCAAACAAGTAGATCTCAGCACCCGTTTGCCAAATCTTAAAAGGTTTTATAGAGGCCTTCACTAGGTTTAGTCACGTGCCAAGGGGGCCTTAATTGGGGTCAGTCACATACTCAGTCCAGATAGTCTCAACACCACATTTCTGTCTCAAGGCTGTATCTTTAGAGCAACTTCTGGGAGCCGGGAAAGCAAACAGCACACATTACAAAACATAAGGGAGTGGGTGAGGAGCCTTCAGTTACTTGGGTCCAGCTCAAGGGCCCAACCTGTGGTTCTGTCTTCTTGATGACCTTCATGTTTCATATGAAAAGAAGTCAGACCTAGCATTAGTTCCCAGTCTCTAACTAGTTGTAGACCTTGGACAAGGCATTAGTTCTGAGTTTCCTCATTTTAAAAAATAAGGTAGTAGGGGTAAAGAATATTCAGAGACACTTCCAGCTCCAAAATTCTGATTACAAAAATGAATTGACTCCAGAAAGACAAGGAAAATAAGAAATAAAGCTAAAAACATAGACCATGCCAGGATGAGATATGTGAAACCATGGTATAAATTGATCCAGGCTGATTCCCCCAGAATTGAGCATATTAGTTTTATTTTTAAATGCTCAAAATATTCTTATTTGGATAAAAGAACTCATAGTAATGCTACATTTATTCATCTTCATCAAGAATGGAATTCTGAGTATAAGATTTTTAGTTTATAAAGCTTTTTTTTTAATCACTAGAATTTTAAAAATATTAACATTTTGCCAGCTATAACTTCTAAAATATATCACCACTGTAAATGTAGTGCACTAAACACATTCATACATTTTTGGGTGACTGTTGTAAGTTGTGATGCTCCCTCTTGGGCAGTTCCAAGGCAAAGTAGTTATGGGTTTTACAGATATCATGTTCTCACATGAAATGTCACCAGTATCACCAAGCAGCCAGGAGTAAGCCTTGTAATATTTGTTTACTCTTTGCCTGATCTTCTAATTAGTTTTTAATTTTCTGAATGAGTATGGAATATTTAGTCAGCATTTGGAACTTGTTCAGGGATTTCCTAGGCACTTTGAAATTGTTAGGAGAGGAGAGAAGCAGTTATGAGGTTTTTTGCTTATCTAAAAAAAATTTCAGTAATGAATGATGATCCAGGTGCATCATTCTAGCATTTGAAATACTGCTCAAAAAAGTACACAAATGAAATGAACACACCATTGTTAAATCGTCTAAGCCTTTTTTACCTGAGAAAAATAACAGTTTAACTATGTAGACAACCACTGGCAATTTTCATATACACACACACAAAAAGGCTGCCTCTTTTAGTGTCTCCTTTCTGGGGATCTGCAGGTTGAGCCCCCTCAAAGCTAACAAAGGAAGAAGAGTCTCTTCTACCTGATGACTGGTATTTTATTACATCACTGTAAGAGTAGGTCTAGTCAACAGAGGGGTTTTTTTTTTTTTCCTCTGGTTAAGACATCTATTGTTGCTCTCAAATTTTATCTTCGGCTTTCAAACTACACAGTTTGAACAAACATATACCACCCCCTACATCCCCAAAAAACTAGGAAAGTTTCTGACCTGATTCTTTTTTATCATTAATTTTGGAACTCATATATATTTGGAAGAATAGAGATTTTAGGTTAAGGGAAACTTTAGCTTTTGTCAGATGATTAGGTGTGGTTGAATTTATCCACTTTCTCTTTTCATGGGAATTTTTATTATGTAGCTTGCAGTGTAAACAACAGTGCAGCAAAATTTAGTTAAATAAATTTGGTTAACCTTTTGGTTGATTGGTATCTATGTTGGTTGGTTTTTATTGATACCTATTTTAAAATTTATTTTGCTTTTCTTTACATTGTGCATGTATTAAATGTTTGATTATGGGGCATGTAATGACTGATATGCTATCAAAACATTCTTAATATTTCCCAGTAAACCACTAAGTGGTTTTTTTTTTAATTTATCTTTATTGTTGAAAGTATTACAGATGTCCCCTTCTGTTGAGCCCCTCTTTTCCCTCTGTTGATCCCCTCTACCCCACATCTGCACTGCTGCCCCCCCACCCAAGGCCTTCTCCACACTCTAAGTGGTTTTTAGATGAATAGCTTCAAGGTACGTGCATTTGGTTGAAGAAATCCTTATCATACATTAACTTTTCTACAACCTTCTGGAACCTGTTGCCGTGTTGTTTTGAATTACGTTTCTGAGGTAACTGTCTCTTATTCCCAAGAATTCTGCCTCTTCTCCAAAGCTAGCCCCACTTCAGTATTATGGACCTCCTCATTCCCTTAATTATCTTCCTACTCTCAAGCTAGCACACATACTTAGTAAATAAATACTAGGTACGGTCTCTTCTTCACTCCTTATTCTATTTAAGAATACACCTACTCTCCTGATCTTGAAAAGTTCAATTACTCTGATGTTTCTGACCTCCAAACTGTCATCTTTTTTGCATTTTTTCATTGCTGTTTGTGTCCACACTCATTGTCTCAATTTTCTTACTACTCATGGCCATAAATAGAAAGGGAGATTGGGATTTGGGAGTAGGTAGTAATTATGGCGAGCAAAAAACAAATATAAATATATTGGAATAGTTGTGACAGCCCCATAGGAGGGCCCACAAAAAGGACAGACTTGTAGTGTAGAGAACAGGACTATGTAACAAGAGTACAAGGAGGCTTCTTCATTCACACAAAGGCTATGCCAGTTAGCAAGCTCTCTGAAGTAGAGAAGAGCTAATAGATGGAAAGTGATAGGCCTTACGGGATGCCTATAGTTAAGGAAGAGAAGAGGACAGTGAGATAGAGTTTGGAGGGATATAGAACTGTAAGTGATTGACCAGTTTAGAATTCTTACTATTTAGGATGTTTGACTCAAAAAAGTTTGTAGACGTGCCCCCTCCCTAAAAAAAAAGACCATTTACTGGCAACTCTAGTAAATTTACAATGATGGTAAATCTGACTTTATTTTAGGTTACTGAGAATAATTATCACATCCCATATTCATTTTTATTTCTGGAACCATAAAGTCATCAGCTGTGGCAACTGGGATGCCTTACTAGGTGTAATATTGTGGTTAAAATTTAACCGACTTGAAATAAACCAGCGCAGGATTTTCCTGTTTCTTAGTAAGAACCAAACAGCTACTAAAGCTGATTATGAGAAAACAGCATCTCTTTGAACCCGATCATTAGGGCAGTAGTTTTCAACTGTCTTGCAGGGGAAGACAGTTATTTGATGAGCTGACCTAAGTCTTCTCATTTAAGGGGGGG